TTCTTGATGCACTTTAGTTAAGCATTCTATACTCCAGTTTTATTTTTTTTTCCAACCTGAAATTTAGAAGTTAGACTCCTTATTAACCTAATCTAGGAAAAAATACTCATGGACTTATGCTGAATTTTTTTTTATTATTTTCATTTTTTTCCCCTTCACAGTGAGAATATTTCCGTTTCTTTTATCTCATTTGGGCTTTTACTTGGGGGGCTTTGTCTTACTTTGCAGGTAGTATATGACTATAAATAAATTCTTCTTTCTCCCTACTTGTTTTCCTCCTGAAGTTTGTCTTTGTTTGTCTCCTCCTTTTCCTGATGATTTCTCTCTGTTTCATGGTACCAGTTATCTTCTTTGCTCAATCTATTTAAGTGAATAGTATAATGAACTGACACCAAGAAATTGTCCCCAGCTGGTTTGCAGGGGAGCCTGAGCAGATGTTTTCTAAAAGTTCCAGGGGGCTTGGTTTCTGCATAGCCTAAACAGACATTTTGCTTGCAAACATCCCCTTATATCTTGTCTGTCTTCTAAAAACACAGTTGCAAAACTATTTCTACAAGGTTGAGACAGTATGAGGGGGGAGGCTGCTATCTCAGTGTCTTAGCACCCTCTTAGCATCAGTCCCTTAGGGGGAAAGAGGATCAGCATGGAGGCCAGCATTTCTGGTTTACAGAGTAACAGAGGTTAATGTGTGTTCTAGATGTAAACATCAAGTATTCAAAATTCCCTGTCATTGAAAGAGAAAAAAACAAACAAACAAAAAAAATCCTCCAAAACAGGAGAAGCCCTTCTACCCCAATAGTGACATTTGCATGTATTTCTCATCCTTCTAAATTTTCTATGCAGGTTGAAAAAAAAAAAAAGGCAGTTTTTCATTAGATATTGTACTATGGTAATCTTATTAACATTTCAGTACTTTGATTGCTTTGGTATTTTATTTTTCTTATTGTGTTTGGGGTTTTTATCTTGGAAATAGGTGAAATTGCCTGAAACTTGAATTCAGAAAGTATAGGTACAATTCACTGCTAATCATGTTCTACTTAACATCTGTAATATCTTAATATCATTGTAGATATTGGGTTATGTTGGAAATTCTGGAATAGATACACGAGACAGAATTATAAATTCAGGAAAACTAGTCCCACAGTAATATCTGGTATTCTGGTGGGTTGACCAATGAAAACCTTTGGAATATTAGGCAAAATGTTTAGGCTGAAGTGCACACATAATTATTTAGAATAGAATGGTTTTCTGGGCAGCAAAAGAATCCTGTCACAGGGCAAATTAGTGTGAACTTTAGCTGTTAATTACAACTAAATGTCTGTACTGCATTCCTATATTAACCAAATTTAACAAAATATATCCCTAACAAGTATGTATGCTGTTCCAAAACTGTATTAAGATGCTTTTCACAAAAACCTGCTGAACATAGACAAGTCTGTTTAACACATTATTTTATTTCTTGCTGATTTATTATATTTTTTAATGCTTAAATTTGCCAAAACACCATGAAAATACACAGTAGGAAATCTGAAACATTGGTCTGACTCACTAAGAATATTTTCACTCACCTCTGACTTGTCTCTGCTGGGATAGTCTACTCGGTTTTCAGTTCCAACCTGTTCATTGAGAAGCTAGCATTGATGGCTTCCCTGAATACCTTCTTCCAGAAGAAGAAAGTGTTTTCTCTAGAGATATTTTGAATATGTTTCTTGTTGGATAGAATCCAGATTCAGACTAATGAATTAGGGAAGTCTAGTTAATGTGGAATAATTAATGACCTAGCAGCAGAGAAAGAACTAAAAATTGAAGGATCAGCTTGATTTAAATAACAATTTAAAAAAAGTAATGTTTTAACATTTCTGAACATAGTGTTGTGAGGACAGGCAGATCCAGAATCCATGGAGAATCCACCAGGCTAAGATAAATATATGGCTTACATTATTCTATATTTTTTTAAAAAAGCTTTCACTAACTTCAAGATGCTTTTCACATTTATTTTATGCTTAGATAATAATTCAGCTTATTCTATTCAGCAGCCTAGGTCAGAGTAGCTTTAATAATAATGTATATTTTTCCAATACAACATAAATATTTTTTTGTAAAATAGTGCATATTTTTCCAATCCTGTCAGAAGAATGAAATTTTATTTTTATCATTTTGTCTCCTTCCTTTGCTCATTACCCACTTCTTTCCTTCCACTCCAGCTTATACAAGTGTAAGGCCTCCTTGTTCATTTTCTTTGTCCTTACCCATCTTGCTCATTGGCTCATGTTCACCACCCCTTCTGCCATTCCCTTCTACCTCCCTGGTTGCTCTCAGGCTCTGTCTGCAGCATTTGAGAATTTGCTGAAGCACAGATGGCAATTAATCTCCCTGAGTTCATCCACGAAGAATCACATTTTATTTTAAAGAAAGGCAATCTCCATTTTATAAGGTCTATCTTTTATCTATTACAACTTAATGAGAAAATAAAAGTTTATGTGAACTGTATTAGATGCCGCAGAATAAATTAATAGTAATTCTATCTTTAAAACTATATATATATATATATATATATATAGTTATTGTTGTAAATACATTTCCTTTAAATACAGCAGGCACTAAATGTAGCTATACTGCAATACAACTCTATCTGGCTTTTAAAGAGGTAGCTGAGTGATTGTCTCACAATTTTCATTTATCTTTTTACTTTTTGCTTCATAGGACATCTTTCTGCCTTGGAATAAGGCTGGCCATTTCATCCCATGTAGTCTGATGATGAATAGAGATTTTACGACCTCTCTGTAATGAGTGGATGAGGAGGAAATCGATTTCTATATTTGGCTACTGTTGGGCTATATATATTTTTTTCCTTTTGTGAAAGGAAGGCTCAAGTGAAAGTTATTCCTGTAGATGCACATAAGGCTGAGGGAAAAGCAGAGATCTCTTAGCACACTTTTTGACACAAGCGGCTCAGTGGGAGACTCAGCACAGATGGTTTAAAGGGCTGTTGTAAGGACTGAAATAGTCTCTGGACTTCTCCAAAGTCCTAATCTCTTTAGGGCAATGAGAGCTTGTAACTGAGCACATTGAGGTCTGAGGGGAGCTGCTGCTGGCAGAACTCCCAGACTTCAACCACTGGTGAAGGTCACAATTGTTTAAACTATATATATCTAAGAATTGGAAGAGTTTTTATGGAATAGTCATAAAGTTGCTGTCTATTTGTTTTTGTAACCTTTTTTAAAATCACTTATAGGTAAGATAGGCTTAAAACACAGTTTTGATGTTTAAAAAGAAGTGTTACAATGGCTCAATTACTGTCAAATCAGGGAAATTACATTTTTGCAATGTATTATGTATATTAAAATAAATTTAATCTGCATCATCTCATACCATCTAGAGTGTAGAATATTTTCACCCTTTTGAGTCATTCAAGTATCTATTCCATGCAGAAATTTACTTACTCTATTTTTTATTTGAGTATGAGACAAAAAGCAGTGTTAAAAAAAAAAAAAAAAAGCTGGAAATGCATTGGTATTAGAATGTTAGGGGAAAACATAACCTGTCTCATTTCCAGAAGCATTAATTTCTAGTGCTTCTCCCATCCCCAGATATGTCAGAAGTTTAAATGTATTTTGATGGCATTTTTTAATGTGGACCTGAACTTGACTTTGAATCTTTTGAAAATTATTCAAGCTCAAAGATATTTTAACAGGTTTTTGAGCTTTTTTCATTGTATTATACATGTAAAATGTGTATTATGAGTTGTCTTTTGAGTGATGATGGAAAGTGTGCTCATAAGGAATTGTTATCATTAAATTTTCCTTTCATAACAATAAAAATATTAATCATTGTCTTGAGAAAACATCCAGTGTGGGTAATGGCATGTCAAAATTCATCTGGCAGATCCTAATCGTTCTCAGGTTTATTTTTTTTCTTTCTCTGTTAGGAAGTGTCACTATCTTGACCTGGAGAATACAACTGGAATTAAGTACCATCTTAAATCTGAATATAGCAATTTTATAAAGAGTTGTACAGCTCCTTCCCTGTCACATCAACAAACTGACAATTTACTGTGACTATTTTTTTTAGAGAAGTTCAAGTAGAAAACTTTGAAATCTGCTGATCTAAGGCCATGGCCGGTAGGAATATTTCCAAGTATAGAAAAAGAGCAGAGAGGTGCTATCAAAAATCCTGTCCCCAATGCTGGTCATGAGAGAACATTTAGGAGGCACAGTCTCCTTGAGCCAAGGTTGAACTTACAGGCAGTGCTGGGCAGAACAACCACATACCCAGGTAATCTTTTCCATGAACTGAGCCTTCCAGGACCCTGCATGGCACACTGCAAGCCATCCCTCCATTGCTCCAGCTGTGTGCCTGTGAAATTATATTTTAAAGCCTCATTATAGAAGAATTCCGGATGATCTGACCTCATTATTTCTGGAATAATATGTTTCTGGTTTGAAGTAAGGAATCTCTCGTGATGACTTTATTATTCTGTGTCAAACACTTTGTCCACTGGAGAATAAGTGGGAGAATAACAATGAGAAGGTAGCACAGACTGACACTGCAGACTTGTATGTGTATGTGTTTTATTGAAGATTGCAACTAAATATCTTTTATAAACTAAGTGCTGGATAGAATGTATGACTTAGGAGATGTGTCAGGTTTTTCTTCCTTTTCCATTTCTTTTTTTTCTTTTCCACTTCATTTACAGGAAAAAAAAAAAACTGAAAAGTAACTGACTTTTAAATTGATGTGAAAATATTTGCTGTCTTACCTAAACAGATCCATTTTTACATTTAATTAGATTCAATGACCCAGTGTTTCTTATATCAACACTATTTTATTTCAGAGTTCATTGCTGTCCTCAGCTTCACCTGTCATTATGGCACATCAGCACTTGCACTTCCAGTCAGTCATAAAGTTTGAGACTCAGGGGGGTCTGATCATCTCACCCTGAAATTTCAATCAGCTTTAAATATCTATGCAGATAATTAATTTTTGCTGTTCCTATACAGGATTGACATCTTCAAGTACGTGATATATGGTGTAGCAGCTGCATTCTTTGTATATGGCATTCTGCTGATGGTGGAGGGATTCTTTACAACTGGTGCCATCAAGGATCTCTATGGAGATTTCAAAATCACCACTTGTGGCAGATGTGTGAGTGCCTGGGTAAGTGTCTAAAAAGCTTTTGTACTTATGACAAATTCGATATGCTCTGTATATATTTTTAGTGTCCTGTGATGTTTATTTTTTGGTTTTGTTTTTCTTCAGTATTTTGTGATACCTCAGCTCAGTGTTTAAAAATTACAGCAATGAGAAAAGAGTGTTATAAATATTCTCTGTATTGGTTAAACTCTAAGCAATTCTTGCTACTCAGGAGCAATGAATTCCACCAGCTGAGTGAGAAATCTCGTTACCTCAGCAACATGAGCTGTACTGAGCAGGACTGAAACTGTAATGCCTCCAGCTCTACTGGGAATGAAATATTTCCCTTACTAGTATTTTCAGTCATTTTTGGAATCTTGCCTGTTCCTCTTTGGAACAAGCTGAGACCTGTCATCTGGTTCTATTCTGTCTCTAAATGGCAAACAGGCCATTATTTACTCCTGTGTTAATCTCTGGTTTGGAGAGACCATTTACTTATGACCCTGGAAAACTTGGATTCAAAAATTCTGATTTGTGCTAGGACTTAAATGGAAGTCTATCATACTAAAATTGCTGACTGTTTCAGGTGGGATTATTTTAACCTTTCTGTTCAGTGTCAGGTAAGTAACTAATTTTTTCGGTACTTGACTGTTCTGCATCTAAACTAAGAGGCCTGTGTACTTTGTAGCTGTTGGAGTTGGATATTTCTGAAAACAGTCTGCATGAAAACTTCATATTTTGTGATCAATACTAAATTAATAAATACAACCAGATAAATCTGGGTGTTAAAGTACACATTTTTTATGCTATATTAATGATAAATCACATATAAATTAGTATGCTGGGTTGGGTTTCCCACTGTACTCTGCTGCAACTCTCAACACTTAATTTAGTGGAATACAGTCTAAGCAATAGATACTTCCAGTCACACAAAGACTATCAAAACTAGTATTTTGGATATCCTGAGGTTTAAGGTTAAACTGAACACAGATAATCTGCATCTTGCAAAATTGGGGAATGCAGTCTGTATGTCATCTCTATGTAGATGCAACCTGTTCTACAGTAACCCTGTGTTTTTGCCTCTTCTTCTTTCATTCTAGTCATCATTGTATGATTTTGGCACTTTGACTAAGATTGCTTTAAAACCTTTAAATAAGTATATAAAAAAAGACTGAGAACATTTTAAATTAAGTGCAGTCATTGCTTATGCCAACACTGCTTTCATCTTCTGGAAAGAAGTCTCTAATCTGTATTCAGTGAGGACATACTAAGTTAGTTCCAATTCTGTATAGAGTAGCAAGATTTTCAGAACGCTTTTTCTTCACAGCTTCCATGAATGCCTGTCCTCAGCATTGCAGCAGAGCAGTGCTACATCCTCCCACAGTTTTGATAACTGTAATTCTATAGTACGTGTCTAGAAGAAATGAGAGGTTAAGCAGATATTCCATGGTTAATATCACTGTTATTATTAGTGATTTGTGACTTTATTTCCTTCAATACTTCACTTTCCTCATCAGTAATTTGCCGTGTTTGTGTTCTACTTTGAGAAGCCCTGGGTTGAGACACACTGTGCAGCTAAGGTTAAGGCTGTATACTCTTTATGACCACAATTAAAATAACCCATCAATAAGTTTGAGTTAAATACCTTGTTGTCATTGTTCTTTAAGTCAGTGGAAGTTTTTTCTTTTTCCTGGTGAAAAAAACCACAAACCTGCTGTTTGATTGCTTGTCTCATTTTGATGATGTGTCAGTAAGATTGCTATACAAATGTCTGGAGTTAATTTGGGTAATTATTCTGGCTTTAGTGTCTATGCTCTAGAGGGTATATGTCAATTAAAACTTGATATCCTTTTGGCTAGGTTGATTTTCATTGTCTCATATTTTAAATTCATAAGGGAAAAATAACATCCTATGTTTAAAAAAATATATATATATTTGGAATTACAAAATGTTTTAATCCAAGACAGATGTGTTTAGAATTTATTCAGTTCCTTAACATATGTTAATTATATAAAGAAATATAATTATATTTATATAAATTATATAAAGAAATAAGTCCTAAGAACAACAAAAACAATAGTAGAGAGGTAAATGAAACCAAATCAGTATTGTGTGTCAAGGCTAGATTGCCCAATTGCTAAAACAGTTCTGTAATAAATTTTGTTCTGTACAGTTGCCAAAATGAGATAATGCTATTGAAAAGGGTTGGCAGATACTACAAGTTGCAAGAAATTTTCCTTGTATGCAGCTTTGACCTTATACTTTTGTAAATAATAAAAATCTAAACTGTGAAAGATTAAACAGTTGATTTCTTTTAGCAGAGCCTTAATACTAACAGAAATGTACACAGAGGATATTTGTTGTTTTGAAAAATTAAAATTATAAAAATGGCTCCACATTAAAAACACCTTTGTAAAAACTCCAGTTGTGACTATGATTTCACATAAAATTTGCTGATATCTTTCTAAATAGAAGTTTAATGTTTAACATTTCAGTTCAAGTCTGAAAATTAAGTCCTTCAGCTTTACTGTTGCCACCAGTTGTTTTTCATTAATATTTTGCAGGACCAAATTTGTTATGTCAGTGACTAAACCTATTATGAAAATGTAGGGAAAAATCAATAAAAAAATTTCAAGACAGAAAAATTTATTTGAAATTGGTATGGTTTAGCTGTATTTCTATATATGGAAATATGAACAGTAACACCTTTTTCTCTTTCTTAAGAAATATTTTTGAAAAGCAGACTTTTGAGAACACTGATAGCCACCATCTGAAGGAACTTTTCATGTGCTCTTCCTGACCTCCCTCCTTAGCTGCAAATAGCTCACTTTCTAGCTCTGAACGGGCAAAAGGATTTTTTTTTTGCCTGAAGAAATGGAAAAAGAAATAGCTCAGCCTAACCTTTCCAGTGAATGTATAATTGACTTATCAGCTGGTATGAGCATTCAGAGACAGCATCCAAGTCATGTCAGTGCTGCCATGGAGCAGAGCCTCATATCTGAGAGAGACCTTGTGAAAGTGACAGTGAAGACTCTCACTGGCAACGTTTGTAGACTTAATTTACTGTGGAAAGAAAAACAAAAGCAGTAAAACAATGCCAGTCACATTCGAGGAGGGATGGCTTTCATTCCAGGCTTCATTTTTCCATGCCTGAACATGCTTTTAGAGTATTAAATAAACATTCATATATAACTGTGCTGCAGCATGATTAGTAGAGAATGGGAGACAGGCCTGAAGCCAACTGTAATACTGTTTTCATGTTTGCAGTTTATTACCCTTCCTACTTATATTTAGCTCCCTTGGCCATGGAAAGCCTCATTTACACCTTGTTTTAGAATATCTGCCCACAGAGTCAATAGAAATGCAATGACACTTTCCCCCTCATGTTATTGTATAAAAGGAGGTTTGGTTTTTGTTTTATTTCATCATAAAAAAATATATGAAGACTTCACTGTGGTAGTTGTATTTCTATTTCTTTGTACCTTGCTTTTCAAAAGAACCATATTAAGGCTCTAGAGAAATAAGTTTTATATTCTAAACTGCACTTACATATACCTTTTGTATCTTTAGTTTTAGGAATATTTCATTTAATTGCTGATAAGGATTTTTCTGCCTTGGAAAATAATTCTGGATACCTGATTGCCTATGGGCTATTTCATAAATGCTTCTTGAGTGTCTAAACTAAAACATGAACTTCCCAAAATATTGCCACAATTTATTTTGTAAAAAAAAAAAAAAAAAATGGAAGCTGCGCAAATGTTTTGAAAAACCATCTGTGAACTCATCACTTCATCTTTTCCTTACCAGACCAGTTATTCAGAGGCAGTGAAACTGCATCATATTGACATTTGATTCTTTGTGTAACAGGAGGAAGAGAGTTCAGTGCAGGCTCAGCTGGCTTTCCCACCCAGAACAGATGTATTATTTCTGAATGTTAGAAATGAACCTCTCATTTCTGAAAATTAGATACCATGTCTGGATATTCTGGGGTAAAACTGCTGATCTGAGAGACAGGGAGGCCTTGCTTCTTATTAAATTCTGCTTCATACCACATTTGTGAGAAATAAAGGACCTTCTCTCCAAGACAGCAGATATCCTTACGGGTCCAGACTCCTTCAAACCAATCTTAACTGGGGAAAGTATCTAAAAATCTCTTTTCCTCACACATGTTTAGTTGTGTATGCTGTATATAGTTTCACACCATGATATGGGAAGTGGGGAAGGTGAGATTCATAGTGCTCTGACCTTTCAGATTGCTCAACTGAAAACCAGAAACATGATTTTTTTTTTCACAAATTACCCAGAAGCTACTGAAGTAGTTAACTTCAGAGGGATTGTATTATGGCACAGACATATCCCACCTCATTAAGGTTATCAAGAAAAAGGCCTATGCTCCTTCAGTAGTTAAAGAAAAGAGCAGCTTAGGCAAACTTTATCAGGTGAATTGAATTTTTTTGTGACTGTCCTCTTTCCTGCAAAGAGAATAACCCTCAAGTCTTTTAAGTCATGTATTTTATATTAAGATCTTCAATCAACTATGTACATTTAGTTGGATGTATCCTGCCTGGCCCTTTTAGCTGGAATTTAGGTGAATAACATTTGCTATCTAAACACTGCTGCAGTTAGTAGATGAAAGAAAACATATTAGCAATTTTATAGGTTATTAGAACTCATCTTATCCCTGGATACTAAACCAGTGTTGGAATTTCTTTAGAGAACTGTGTTCCTTGCAGTTTTCTGCTCTTGATATTGAAATAGGAAGAACAAGCCCTAGCAGCAGTTCAAAGCTCAACTGAAATGTTGAGTCATCCTTATGTCACTCTCTCCCAACTGCATTGTTAATATACATATGGGGTCTTGAAAAGAAAGAAGAAAGCAAGCTTTTTTTCCACTATTTGTTATATTTTTAGAAATATTTTGCAATGAGCTCAGAAATTTTGTTGTGCATACCTATGTGCTGAGTCTACTTTTTTCTCTCTTATTTCTATAATTTAGCAAAGCCTTTTTGTTTTTCTTTATTGTAC